CCCCTGCTTTAGGCCATTATTGGTAAATGACAAGGCCTCCCTCCTGATATACACTCCAATCATTTTGATTTAAAGGCCAATGTGAGGTTGTCTGGCCTCCTCTTCCTGATCCTGACCCCTCCCTGTGGATGTGGTGCAAGTCTTCACTGTACTGAATGAGTTACACAGAGTAGAAGTGTAGGTGGACGCGTGGGTGGTCACTGGGGTTAGGGGGGTCTCTGCACTACTACTGAAGTTTGATATTCATCCAAAAAGAGACTCTGGGGGGATATGCAGTCTCTCTAACGCTCACATTCTCATTATTCCCCAACTTCAGTCTCTCCACACATTGCTCTTCTCCAGTTTGACCCATATTTCAAGCATTATCACTTGCTAATTCACTCACAACAGCACATATCTCCTCTTTCTGTCCCCTTCCTGGCTGGATTTGAACACATAAGTCCTTGCGATGTGACACTTTACTGTCTGGCTTGTTAATACTTTGTCCTCATGCAGTGTGTCTGCTTTGGCTCTCATAGTCCACTCTGGTTTTCTCATCTGACCTTAGAGAGACCGAGAAAAGGGTAACAAGAGACAAAGAGGAAAGATATACGAGACAAAGGGTGGTAGAGTGGGTACAGAAGTGAAGAATGGGGTAAAAAGGTAAGGCTTTCTCTTGTATAAACTGAACATTACTTCATGTCTGAGATGTAGACTTTTGCACGTCTGCTTAACCTCATTCTTGATTAAAATGAGAACAACGAGACAGAGTATTGCACCCTAGTGAATTTATTAGATATGTAGATATTAATTTACACTACAGTAATGTCGAACAGTGATGTCACCACTACTAGCTAAATTGACGTGTTTGGGGGTCAAAGTTAATTCACTTTTTTGATTATCTGTACTTTTGCAATCTAACTGATGTATGCAGAGTTGAAATAAGGTTCAGGATCCTGTCTGTTGAAAATATAATGACATCGGGAACAAATGAGTAATTTCGAGACATTATACTGACAATATTTAGACAATACGCAGCAGGAGCACTGATGGTGCAAAGACAGACTGATGGAACGCATTGACTTCTGCTACACATGGACTGTTTGGGGAAATCACTGAGAATGTTTAGCGAATGTATCGACAATGTTTTCAGAACAATTTTGCAGAGTCTTGAGAATGTCGGGGTAACCCGTAGGCTACTAAGAAAAGGCACCCCATGTTTTCTTAAACTCTCCCTCACTGCTCTCGATGGAGCCCCTCGACCCCAAACATCATGATAATTGCATGACCAGAACAACCACACTCATAGTTAACAGAGCTGAGTAGGCGTCACAAGCTAAATCATCTGAATATGCAGTTTTTAAATAAAATGTCAAATAAAATGTTTAAATAAAAATAAAAAAAATGTCAAAGCTATGTGCAAATAATAGTTTTAAATGTAATTTTTATTTATAAAAAATATATTAATGTATTTTGTCATCATTTTTTTGGTTTATTGTATTTTTTTATATATATTATAACTTAAATGTACATACACTAATCAAAAGTTTGATCGTCCTTAAGATTTTTTTTATTTAAGAAAATATTTTCTTTCAGCAAGGATGCATTCAATTGTTCAAAAGTGACAGTATAGTCGTTGATAATGTTTCAAAAGATTTCCATTTAAAAATAAATGCTGTTTTTTTGTACTTTATATTCATCAAGGAAGCCTGAAAAAAAATATTGACTGTTTCCACGAAAATATTACGAGTAATAAATCAGAATATTTCAATGATTTCTGAAGGATCATGTGACACCGAAGACTGGCGTAATGATACTGAAAACTCAGCTTTCCCATCACATGAAATACATTAAAACAGTAAAGAGTCATTTTAAATTATAATAATATTTCAAAATAGTACTGTTTTTATCAGATAATGGTGAGCATAATGGTTGTCTTACTAAAAATATCTTACTGACCACAAAGTTTGGATGGTTATGTGTATTTAGTTTTTACTAACCATTATTTTTGTACATTTTTTTTCCATGTAGGTGGACGACTCATTTGCACAATGGAAATGTTCACAAGCTTAATTATGAGACTGTAGGACTGTGTCTTCTCAACTTGAGTGAGAAGAATAAATGTGATTCAAGATTGGCCTCTAGACTTAAACACACACACACACTCATTGGGTACAGTGTTCAATGGCTAAGACTGTCTATCCTCAGACTTCGACATGGCAATGCTGAAGGAAACTTTGACCGTCACAATCATCATCAACCAACAAATATTCCCCCGCAGGTTATACACACACATACGTTACAAACTGACACACACAGAAAGCATATGCACAAACTTGTGGTTAAGCAGGCAGTTTTGACATAACACACACTTAACACAAATTGGTCACTGTAGCCTCATTGGAGGATGTGTGTGTGTGTGTGTGTGTGTGTGTGTCTGTCTGTGCCTCATAGCTCATAATTCCTGCTGAAAATACCAGCTGGAGACCACTGACCAGTAAACAGTTTGTTGAGTTTTAGATGGTGACTGTACCATAACTATCCTTAATAATGTTACAAAAGATTTCTATTTGAAATGTTTCTTTTGATCTTTCTATTCATCAAGAATTCTGGAAAAAAAAGGGGATCTTTTTCAACAAAAAATTAAGCAGCACAAATGTTTTCAACAACAGCTATGTTTCCATCCAAACGTATAAATTGAACCTGTTTAGAATTGGAATATCGCATAAAACCTTTGCGAATAAATCAGCGTTTCCATCCCATGTGTTCAAGACAACAAAACCGTCATGTCCTTGGAAACTGGTGCAAAATATATGGAGGTTGTTGCAATCCAGGAAGCCAGTGTGGCTCTTTTTTTACTACATAATAATTCACTTGCGTCTATTATGCATCAATAAATGCAGTGATGCTATCTTGAATTCAGATGCCTGGTGTTTGGAATGCAATTGTGTGAGAGTGAGTTAAATGAATTCTTGGTGAGTAAGAGACTTTTTAAAATAAAAATATACACCAACCTCAAACTTTTAAACAGTGTATGTATGCGTTTAAATTCTATACACTACCATTTTATTATTTGTTGTATTTTTTACTTGTATAGAACGGATTCAAAATGATGAATGCGCTGAACCTGGTGAACTTCACAAGCTGACGTATTGCACACTAAAACACAATACTGTGGCTCTGAGCTTTGCATGTGTCTGACTGAATCCTGCATGACCCGGTCTCTCTCCTTAACACTATGGTTTGTTCACTTCTCAAGGGTGTATGGACCTCCCCTAGTAATATTTAACCCTAACAGGTTGTCATCAACTCAAAACATTTATAGTGTGTCGCACATAAGATGACTCATGTAACACGCCATCAGCGCAAACACAACATAAAAGAGACTTTTGCCCCTGACGAAAGAGCCTGGAACCACTAAAGCACTAAATCCTGGCCTGTGTGTAGAAATCCCTCTCTAAAGTTAAGGTGCTGTTAAGTGCATGCGAGAGCGGTCACGTTTAATTAGGGTTTAAGAGTTAGATGTTGTGCACATCACTATTTGATCTAAGTGAGAGGAAAATAAATGGCTTCTAGTTGTAAGAGCCACAGGGAATCGGTGTCTGCAGAAATTTCACTTTTCTCTCTGCTCTCATTGCCAATTTGATGCATTTCTGCTTCAAAGTAGAATAATGAAAAGGGTAACTGATTGTTGTACTCATAATTGCAGATTTATATCTCCAATTTAGTTTGTTCCTCCTCATAATTGCAGCTTTATATCTCCCGGTTGTGATTTTATATCTCATAATTTGATTTGAAATTTAAATTTTATTGATACCATATCAGCTATCAGTCTCTATAAGTGTATTATTATCATTAACACATTTCCCCAACAAAATCTGCACTGAATGATAAAAATTATTCACTGATTCTGTTTGGGTCAAGTTTTTGCTCAAGAAAAAGTTTTGGAGTACTACCAACATTTTTACCAAAAAAAGTTTAATATTGAGCAAGGGCACAACACTGTAAAAATGAATATGCTTTATATAATCAATAAAA